CCGCCGTCAAAGGGGGAGTCTTTCTCCTGTTCACTGCCTTGTTCCCCTGAATTCCCAAACCAGAAGCACTTGTTGATGTCCTAAGTTTGCGGACCGACCGTTCGGGAGATCCAATGCATACCCGTTAGCGGCCAAACATGAGGCAGTCCCCTGTTCGCGGCCCAAACGTTTGGCAGATTCCTGTTGGCAGCCCAAACGTTCGGCAGTTTTGCAGGATACCTGTTTGCTGCGCGAACATTCCAACGTCACCGACTGTACCAATTTGTGGCCCGAATGTATCCTGACAGGCTCGTTCCCAGGAACACATCCAGGCATCCACCTCTTCAGGCTACACAGACGGGCTCTTCCTTCTCCGACCACATTGCTGCTTGCTGAGGCTCAAACAATGGGGCGGCGTGGTTCTCCTGGCAGGATGAGTCCCTGGAAGCGCTGAAGGCCCAGCTGTGCCCAGATCGTCTCCAAGACAAGATTGAAGCCATGCAACTCCTTTCTGCTAAACTGCCTTCCGAACTTCTTCCATCAGCTCCTCCATTCTTCCAAACTGCAAGATTACCTGAAAGACAAAACCAGAGACACCACACAGTACACTATAATGTGTACATTTGTGTATGAGAGAATGTGTATCTGTCTGTCAGTGAGTGTGTCTGTCAGTGAATGTCAGTGTGTGTCAAGTCAGTGAGTGTGTCTGTCAGTGTGTTTCAAATAAGAGAATGTGTGTGGGAGCAGCGGCGTACAAACCGCGGTCACAGGGGTCACAGCTGCGACCGTGCCCGGAACTCCTTGCAGACCCCTGCGACTGGGTACCAGGCCTGCTGCCACATTTTGCAGCCCTGGCCCGCGAGGCCGCATATGGAGGGGTCCATGGGGTGGCCGATGCTGTCAGGGCCACCTGATGGATATGGATTGTGAGGGGGGCCCAGTCAGCGCTGGGCACTTTAAGAGCGCGACCGGTCCCCCTGTGATTACATCAGAGCTGGGAGGAAGTGATTCCCCGGTCACTCCTCCCAGCATACTGAGAGCCCGCGCGGGAGGAAGGAGGAGGAGGGAGTCAGAGTGGGAACTCTGACCCCCATCAGGCTGAGCCACCACTGGACCACAGGGAAAGTAACAAGGTAGGAAGAATTTTGTGTATGTGTGTATGTTTCTCTGTATGTATGTGTGTGTGGGTGTCTCTGTATGTGTGTGTGTGTGTCTCTGTATGTGTATGTGTGTCTGTGTCTCTTATGTGTGTGTGTCTGTGTCTCTGTATGTATGTGCGTGTGTGTGTCTGTATGTGTGTGTCTTTGTCTCTGTATGTGTGTCTGTGTCTCTCTGTATGTGTGTGTCTCTGTATGCATGTCTCTGTATGTACGTGTGTGTCTCTGTATGTATGTATGTATGTGTCAGGGGGATGGGGGGGCACAGATCGGGGAGAGAAGGGAGCACGGATCAGGGGAGAGAGGGGAGGGGGGGCCCACTGATCAGTTTCGCACAGGGGCCCCATGGATTGTGTGTATGCCACTGTGTGGGAGTATCCTCTGTGTGTAATGTGTGTGTGTGTGTGTCAGTGTCCTATTTGTGTAAATGTGTGTGTGCCAGTGTCCTTTGTGTGTAACTATTGTGTATTATATTATAATTTTTTATTTTATACTTCAGATTTATAGTTCATACACACTTCCTTACATACACAATATTCACATAATGTAATTATTTCAAAAATAGTCATTACTACGTTTACTCAAACTTGTTCTTCAATATGGGATTAACTTAAACATCAGTGTCTACTCGTTTCATTCGGAATTTAAATCAATAGAAATTACTTTCTCAAGGCAGGGGTACTAAGGAATTTTTTTTCAACCTGCAGGTGTACTTCTCAGTAAAAGGTTGAGAAACACTGATATGACACTATATGGAGTGGATGGATGCGGAGTGCCCAGCTCGTTTGTGTTTATTGAGGTTAAATGAGTGAGTGCAGACTTTGTACAATGTCTTTTATGTTCTTTAAAATTACACAATAAAAGCTTAGCGTTTTCAGCGGGAGGAAACAGATCTGCTTTGTTTATATTCGCAGTGGATGATGCAAGAGGACCAGGAGCCTAAGGGAACACTGTAGACGAATATGCCTGCAAATATACCTACCACCTCTCACTCTGTGTTTACAAAAATACATTTTTGTTTCAATCCTTCGAACATTAGATAGCTATAAACCACACAGAAAAACATAAAAATATATCATGTAAAAATATATTGTTAAAATTAACTGCCACCATGCAGTTACTGCCACCTAATCACTGTAGAGTAAAATTAATTTTCACTATTTGACTTCCTTGACATTTAAATGAACACTATAGTGTAAGGATAGAATGGATCTGGGTGCCTTTAGTGGTCTGGGTGCCTTTAGTGTCCCTTAATCCTTAGGTGCAATAGAAGTGCAGGAGACATACATTGCTCACCTCTCTGATACTCCAGAGATTAAAGGGACAGTTTAATCATCATAACAACTTCATGTAAATTAAGTTATTATGGTGCTAGCAGGACCCCTGACGTACTCTTACGTCAATGGGTTAAACCGTTCGAGAATGAGTTAACCCCAAAGTAGGCCTTCAGTCCCAATCTCAACTTCCCCAGACGGCATCCGACTTCTGAAATTTCAGTTTGAAAAAGGCATGTTTATTTTCAAGACAGTTTTATGAATGGGGAGTCACTGATTGGCTGAGAGCATCAGCTGATTGCTCTCAGCTAATCATCGGCACCCCTGCCTGGCGGACCACCACGCTTCCGAAAACTGAAATTTCAGATACCAGATGCCACCAGGGAGGAGGGGTGGGGTGGTGGGAGTTGAGATCGGTGCTGGAGGCTCACTTTGGGGTTTAAACCATTCGAGAACGATTTACCCCTTAAGGTAAGAGTATCCTGGGGCCCTCCAGGCACCATAACAACTTCATTTAGATAAAGATGTTATGGTGCCTGGAGTTCACATTTAATGAAATAAGGGTATGCATTGGGTATTGTGCTTTTATTGTCACACAGTTCCCAATTTTACCCCTCGGTGAATAAACTTCCGGAACTGCAGCTGTCATTTTCCTTTGGCTGACTTAGTACCATGTGTGTTGTATTTCTACAGCTGCTGAGGCCTGATATATCCAATGCAATAGAGTAACAGCAGGGAGATATGTCAGACAATAATGGCAAGGAGAACACGTGAGGATAAATCGGACGTCCTATTATTTACATGTTACAACACAAGGCTTGTCAGGTTTGGCACTGGAAGAAACCCCAGCGATGATAGCAGATCTAGCCTGTAACGTCAAGCCCCGGGCCTGAAACATCTTTACCCTGATCAAAGACAGGCTTCCATTTTAACTCCCACAGCAAATTCACATTTCTCCTCTTGTCAATGGCTTAAAATGATGTGGTAACTGACTCTCCCCAGCCTAGTAGGCAGCAGAACGATTGACAAGTGACAGTTTGGGAGTGGCTCAGGGCACAGAGTACGCCTACGGAAACTTCTGTCATTTAAAAACAAAAGATGTCCATATAGCAATACAGGAAAAACTCATTTCAAAGGGACCGATAGGGAGTGAGTCACATGGGATACGAGTACATTGAGTGCTCTTGTTTTAATTTTAAAGCTCTAGCATATTGCAAGGCGATCTACAATAAGGAAAACAAAACATACAAATACTCACAAACATACTAAAGTTATACTATAAGTGCCAGGAATACAAAGCTGTATTCCTGGCACTATAGCTCTTCTGCCTTTCCCCTCCCTTGTGCCCCCTCCCCTTCTTCAGTGAATAATGCGTTAAAAACTCTTTATTTATTTACCTGATCCGACATCCCGCGTCGAGCGTGCCCTATTGCGCATGCGGGCAAATGCCATACGTGCATTAGACCTCCCCATAGAATCAATGCTTTCCTATGGGGAAAAATCTGACGCTGTAAGTCCTCATGATGATGTCCAGCGTAATTTACCGGACCAAAGGTCCGTTTGGATGCAGGATGCACCACCATGTAAATATTGCAGTTTCTCTGGAATTGCAGTGTTTAACATTGCAGCACTAATAGGGACACTGCACGCAGACCACTTCAATGAGCTGAAGTGGTCTGGGTGCCTATAATATCCCTTTAAGACATGCAGGAAAAAGAGGGTTTCCATTCTGAAAAAAGTGGGGTTAAATTTCACAAATGGTAAAGTGTGATGTACCCAGACATAATATAAATAGATTTTCATTTGGGTAACTGTACTGTATACAGATATATGACTTAAACTTTAGCTGTTATTAAATGAACATTGTTAGCACCATAAACACTATAGCCCACTGTAGTGGCTATTGTGCTCGAAGCGCCCAGGGGCACTATCAGTTTATGTAGTCACACAATTTGAGAATAAGGAGGACACCAGGTAAGTTGACTATTATCCTGGGAGTGCGGCAGGACACTCCTGGCAGAGGCGTACTGTGTTTTTTTTAAATGTTATTATTATTTGGGTTAAAGCGGCACTGTCATGCCGAACTTACCTTTCCTCAATCTCTTCCTCTTCTCCCCCTCTCTCAGGATCTGTTATTCTTTTCTTCCTGTCTTCTTTAGTTTTCTTTAAAATCATAAGACAAAGTAGGGACTCTTTGCCTTATAGAGGATTCCTCCGCTTGACCAGCTCTGACCAGCGGAGGAGCAAAGTGTGCTTCATTTCCGCTGGTCAGAGCAATTTTCCCATGATCCTTACCTTCCCTCTGTGTTCCCACAATGCTTCCTGTCACTTTACACAAAACTGCCGAATTGCGTTCTAACTGAATGAGAACAGTCTGTTCGTTTCTTTTAGAACGCAATTCGGCACTTTATTCGGATCGGAATTTCATTCTAATGAATGAAACTCTGATCCTATTCATTGCTGTGGCTGCATCTTGCAGCCGTTTAGTAGATAACTCCCTAATTCCCACGGTATCAGGGAGTTATCTACTAAAAGGCTGAAAGACCTAAATTGGTCCTTCAGCCAAATTTACTAATACTAAGTAAAGATAACTTAGTATTAGTAACTTAAATGCCCCTACTCGCTATACCGCGAGTAGGGGCATGTGTAGTAAGCAGTGAGCAGCGTATAGCTGCTCACTGTAAAAAACAAACAAAAAACTAATAACCCCCCCCACTCCCCCCATGCCCGTGGGGGCCCTAAATAAAGATGGGGGGGAACCTGGCCCCTGGCCCCCACCCCTGAGCGGTGGGTGGGGGCCCTAAATAAAGATATGGGGGGGAACTTCTGGCCCCCCCCGGCCCCCACCCCTGCGCGGTGGGTGGGGGCCCTAATAAAACAATAAGGGGGGGGGACCTACTGTCCTCCCCCCTGGCCCCCACCCCTGCGCGGTGGGTGGGGCCCTAATAAAACAATAAGGGGGGGGACCTACTGTCCTCCCCCCCTGGCCCCCACCCCTGAGCGGTGGGTGGGGGCCCTAATAAAACAATAAGGGGGGGACCTACTGTCCTCCCCCCCCTGGCCCCCACCCCTGAGCGGTGGGTGGGGGCCCTAAATGAAACACCCCCGCCCAATCAAGGTGACTAGGGGTCCCAACCCCCTAATCACCAACCCCCCACCCAAAAAAACCTATCCCCTACCTACCCCCCTCACCCTACAAATAGTGAGGGGGGAATAAAATAACTAACCTGTAAAAAAAAAAAAATTAAACTTACCATTTGGCGTCTTCTTTTTTCTAAAATCTTCTTTCTTCAGCCCCCAAAAAGGCCAAATAAAAATCCATTACACCCGTCGCACTTTAAAAAAAAAAAAAAAACGAGTGCAAAAAAAAATTAATCCAAGTTCGCCCTTCGAGGGCACGCCGCAGACTGAGCTCCGCAGGGCGGGTCAAGGCTTATAAAGCCTTGCCCCGCCCTGCAATTAGACTTAGAACACTCTGATTGGGTGGCTTTCAAGCCACCCAATCAGAGTGCTCTGTGTCATTTTACACAGCGTGGGAAA